AAAAAAAAAAAAAAAAAAAAAAAAAAAACATTTCTCCCAACACCTACCAGTTTCCGGCCAACTGATCCGCCTGAATGGATGAGCTCGTCGCACTCCCACTATCATCATAATCAAAATAAGACCCATTCCACAGCTTCTCGTACACCTTCCTGGCCTTTTCATACCTAAACCAGAAATAATCCTCACACCCCTTGTCCCCAACAATCCCCGCCAGTCGGGATGCCGCCTGCAGTGCAGCCACCCACAGCCCTCCGCAGTAAGCGCTCACCCCCAAAACCGACCACGTGTCGTACGTCTGGTCCGGAAATCCCTCATTCTCGATCATCCCATCCCCATCTCCGTCAAACTGCTCCATGTAGGCCATGGCCACATACACCGACGGCCACACTGCCCGTGCGAACCCCACACTCTCTGTGGCAGCCACGTCCCTGTAAACCTGAAGCACAAACTTGGGATTGAGGTCCTTCCACCTATCCGTGTTATGCAGGTTGTAGAAGTTGACCTCGAACCACGGGTCGCGCATGCCAATGTCGTGTGGGACAGCCCCAAGTGCTTTGCGTGGGGCAGACGAGCCGTCCTGGAGGAGGGTCGTCCGGGCAGGGTCGTGCATAAGGACGGCAGCTGCAAAGTCGCGCTGTATGGCGAGCTCAAGTTTTGGGAATAGAGTGAGGAGGGCGAACGAGGCGTAGAAGTGTACGTCGTACGTGTTGCACATATGGTACTCAATGCCCTCGAGGTAAAGGAACTGACCCTCGTTGTCCTCCCCCTCCTGGAGGAGGTTGGTGCCGAGGGCAGAGGGGGTGGATGAAGGGGCGTGGATATCGTGCAGAAGAGATGTCATGCGACCGAGAATGTTTAGGGCCGCCTCGTTTTGATCAGGCTGGTGGGTGGAGCCTGAGCTCGGGGTGTCTAGGGAGAACCTTCTGGTGGCGATGGTGCGTAGGCTGTGTATTGGGGGAGCTCCATCTGGAAAGCCAGAAAAAATAAAAAATAAAAAAAAAATTATATATATATATATATCATCAACATCAACATCAACATACCCAGTATATTCCCAACAAGTTGGGGTCTGGGGGGTCAGTTGTACGCAGACCTTACCCTTGTAATTATACAAGGAGGCTGTTTCCATAGCGACCCAAGGTGCGTTGCGTCGTTTGATATATTTTTTTCTAGAAACTTCACTAATAGAAGAAGCACTAGAAATTAATTGAGCCATATGTATTGAAAAATCAAATGTAATTAGCCTATCAAGCTTGAGATTAGGATTTAATGTCACAATTACCTGTCCAAATAGTTCCCCCTGCGTTGAGAAAGTAAAGCTCGTTGAAAAGGGTGGGTGGGTACCTGCAGTAATTGTGGAAGAGGGAAAAATATAAGCCTTCCAAGTTTGATGCTGGTAAAGAATGTATATGATATGAATAAGTGAATAAAGGTCTACCATTCAGGAAGCCTCTTGTCTGCAAGAATAGGTCTCTGCCAAGCTTCGATTTCTGACTCCCAGTGGTGGTGCTCTTGATGTTGTGAATAAATAAGAAGAAAACCATGCATCAAATGAAGTTTTTTATATTGTAGACTTGAAGAATGTTAATATTTATTATATCAGTAAATAGATAGCATTTTCCCTGCTCGCCAAACTGGATAAGCTATTGAGAGAATTACTAAGTATAGCATCGTGTGCAATATCTGATGCCACGTTACTGTGAGTGCCATAGAATTTGGTGTAACGCCTGACCATCAAGGAAAAAACTTACTCAGACAATGCTGGGAAAAGCAAAGAAAGATAATTGGAGCATATACGGAATAAACAAGCAATTAGCATACTGGCCTGTGATAAGTTCTTCCACCAGTGAAGTTTACTTCGGGACAAGCCCATGCCAATGAGAATGTAACAGTTTTTACTTCTCCTGCTGGAACAGTCACAGAGGCTGCAACAGCTGCCCCGATTACCGAACCGGGTTCAGAAGGTATAGACATCTCTTCAGAACTTAGGTGGTCAAATGATCCACGCTAATTAGGACAGAACAGGGCAAGCGTTTCAATATTTATAATGAACTAAAAAGACAGTGAAATTGACAGTTTTAATAATAGAACTGAAACATGAAATTTGTACAGGGACTGTTATCTGGATGACAGGATCGGGTTTGGACTTGCCGAAATACTAACCCTCTAGCAACAACTCAAACCTCTACCAATGCATGTTTTAATACTTTCACTTTGTTTAAGAGTTTAAATTTCTCTCAGGAGGGCAGTGGATTTGAAAAAATGGTCTTATTATACCAGAAAATCATTTTTAGATAGTTCACTATCTTATCTATATTGTAAAAATGAAGTGTTGTCAAATCAAGTTGGTTAACATATAAAACCTAAGACTTTGGTGTTTGGACTGCATATAAAGCATGATCTACGATGCAAGGTTCAAACAGTAAAATTTTCAGGCTTCAGTGGCGATAGTCGTTGTACCTCCTTAATCTCAATCCACATGTCTCTTGCTGTAATGCCTTGCGAATTTCCAGATATCACAAAACAGGGACACGCAGACACATGAACACCATCAGTCTCTTCTGCTGCAATTGCAAAAGTTACTGAGGGTAATCCTTTTGCTGTCCTATATCAGTTTAAAAGAAATCAGAAACTCCTAAATATATACACAGAAACTCTAAGATATTAATCTTATAAAACTATTTCATCACCAAAGCAGTCACTTACATATGATGCAAAAGAACTCCACTAATGTTATCCGTGGTTCTGGAAAGAAAGAAAATATAAGCACATGCTGTTTATTATTTTAGATAGAATTAGATTCATGAGCCTCAAGGGGAAAAAAAAAAAAAAATATATGTATATATATATATATATATAATTAACTAAAAGTTTCTGATAATAAATTTCAAAGCCAACAAAACAATCATGGATAAAAGACATAAAAACCCTCTAAGTAACTTGACTCATCTTACCTGAACTTTGAATTGAAATGGTCGCCAGAGATTCCTGAATCTCCACCAACTGAATTCTGGCAGCAGGCAGCAATGTTAGAAACCTTTCATGGAAACTATGTAGCAGGGAAGTCGGAAAACATTATGTAAACTATATTCAATTTGACACTATATTATATTGTCTCTAAAATTAAGTTTACAATAGTACAAGAAAAAAGTAACTCAGGAAAGGAAAAAAAAAAA